CTCCCTGAGTGAGTCTAATGTGCTGCCAGGGTTCCAAACCACCCTTCTAGATCACTGGTGCTCCAAGTGTGATCCCTAGACCTGCAGACTATAATGGGAAGCCTGTCAGAAATGCAGATTCCCAGCCCCCTGGGGCTCCACCCCAGGGTGAGCCTTAGTAGTCTATGATTTCAACAAGCCTGCCTGGTGAGTCTGCTCCAGTTTGAGAAACACCATTTCAGGTGATGACTAGTGGTGCTCAGAAGACATCCAGTGCTTGAGAATGAAAGATATAGCACAGTGGATTTTATAAATACAGTACTGCTCTGAGTCAATGCCATGGTCTTCAGGGTTCCGTCACCTCAGGAGACTCTTCATTTACTAAGAGGAGTGGATGCCTGGGAGATGGAAGTTTCCACTGAGAACCTTTATAAGGCTTAATTGTGAATGTGCAGGTGGCAGCTGATACTGAGTTGTCCCTCCCACTTGTTTCAGCTAAGCTTTTAACCTCACTCTCAATATCCTTAATTAATGATCCAAAGCTTCTGAAGCCATTTCACCAGGGGTCTCCTGTCCAAGCATGTTTCCCTTTTGAGCATTACTTGAAGAGGGTGTTATTCCCAGCCATCAATTAGAAAAGGAAAGTAGAGGTGGCTCTCAGCAAGTTCTGTGACCAATTAACCACCCCCTTTATTCCTCTTTGTAGTTCTCTAAAAATGGGTCAAAGGATGAAAAACTCATCGGTCACCAGCAGACCTGGCCTGTGTTTGTCTAACATACTTTCATCCCATTTGGTATTTCAGTTTCTTGCCTTAGGCTGAATTGGTTGAAAATTCCCTTTGAATTCTTGCTCCTTTTGTAGAAACTTTCTTCTCAGCAATGAAAATAGTTATAGGATTGTTTCCTGAGCTGTGAGAAGCAGAACAGAGTCGGGAGGGAAATTCAGCACCAAATTTTAAGGGTCATTGTCAGCAAAACCAAGGGATAATTAATTGTACAATTTCTGCAATAATAATCTTCAAATCCTACCTGAATTTTATTTTCCAATCTGATAAAGCAAGATCCAAGTGAGAAATGAAAGAGAACTTAAGTTTCTTAGTCCTCTATTTGTCAGTAATAGTTTTTATTGCCTCATCTTCTATTTATAAGGAAAACACCTTTAAATAAAACAGTTTCATTGGCTCCACACCTTCTTTGGCAAAGTTCATAGAAATTTCCCAGGGTAATCCCTTCTGGAATTCCCTGTGGGATGGGAATCCCCTTACATCACTGGGCACTTCCTATTTATTGTGGGGTTTGCTCTTTGTGGTTTTTGCTCTCACTAAAATAATAGTGACTGGAGTCACTTTAGGGAAGTATCTATACTGTCCAGTATGGTAGCCATTAACTACATGTAGTTTATAAAATTAATAAATAATTGCTAGCTAACCAATTTAAGTGGAATTAAGTGAAATTCAAACTATCCTTGCTTCAGGTGCTCAGGATCCACATGTAGCTCCAGGTTAAGGTACCTGACATTGAGATAAGAACATTGGCATCCCCACAGAAAGCTCTTGGACAGCACTGGTCACCCTTTGGTTGAGATACTAAGCTGTGAATGATGTCACTTACTTGTTTCACTTATTTATTCACTCCTTCAAGTTTATAGTTAGGTACTAATCTATTTGTTAGCACTACACTCTCTTTTATGTTCGAATTTAGTTATAACATCTCTTCAAGAGCAAGGATTATTGCCCTGCTTTATGGTGGAGGGGGAGGTTGAGATTCAGAAACTTACTCAAGGCCATATATGGCCAAGAAAAGGCATAATTAGTATTTGGATACATACTTGCATGATCCCAGTGCCCATGCTTTGTATGTTAGTGTCCCTTAGAAGAAAAGCTCTGTGATTTTTGAGGTTATTCTACATCTTTAGAGATATACTTCAGAAAACTCAAAAGCCAGTAACCAGTGGTATATTGGATGCATGAAATGGCTGACCCATCTACTGCAGCACATCAGTAGATCCTTTTTCACATAGTTTTCATCACACCTCACAGTGAGAGACCAGTGTCTCATGATAACAGTGTGCTATTTATTCAGTTGCCCACTTTTGTGAACTTTGTTTCAGTAGAGCTTGGTCTTCAGTGGTGGGCATATCACTTCCTGTGGCAGATCACTTCCTGTCTGGAAAGTCCTGTAGATCTGAAAGTCTTTACATGGGGCCAATACCTGTCTCCCTAGGGTTGTTGCTGTTTTACCTGGTTCTCTATCCTTTAATGCCCTAAGAACTAAAAAGTGTTGTTGTTCTTCCACTTTTAAAAGTCCTGTTAAAATTATTTTATCTTGGATGTTTTCTTCCATAGTAACTCTTCTTTCTCCAGCTGATCGTAATGGCATGGTTTTAAATATTACTGCTATCCCAGTCACTCCTACCTGAATACATCACCATTCTTCGCTTTAGCATTGAGAGTAATTGAACACTAAATGCATGAAGCAGAGCCATCCTATCACTTCTGGCTGCTACTGGTAAGGCAGCCTAATATGAAATCAGCCTCACTGGCAGTCACAGCATTCTGCTATTCATTCATAGTGCTTACTCCTGACCAGCACCTCCATGCTTCTCCTGTTAGGTTTTCGGAGTCAAATATTACCCCTTGCATATAACAAGAAAGGGCATATCCTCATTAAATTTCACCTAGTTAGATTGGTCTCATTGTTCCAAGTCACAGAGGTCTAGTTTTAGGGGTTTTTTCCCCCTCAGATCTAGTCTTTGCTACCTCAGATACTCACCGTTTCCTTCTGTGTAGCATTACACACCTATTTGCAGGTATGTTCACTATACTTTCATCTGTATGCAGAACAAAGCTGGAGTCAAGGAAACGGCTCTTTGCCATATCCCTAGATGATGTTTTTGGGCCATTAATGGCTTCTGTGGTAATGGCTATTTAACTTGTTAGGAATCCACTTAATTGTTGTTCCATTCTCCCCTATTTTTCTTGGGCTTTTTTCATCAGGAGCCATTTGTTTACTCATAGATTTATTCTATCAGTATCAATTGAATTCCTGTTTTGTGTTTAGCCCCTCCTAAATCCAGAACTGTTAGGGTTTTCTACCAGATTGGATATAAAATATGAGAGGAAAGTCATCAAAAATGACTCCAGTGGTTTTGATCTGAACAACTAGAAGAATGGTGTTATCATCTGCCAGGTCTGCCCAGCTAAACCTTCGGGGAGCAGTTTTGAGGGTAAAACATCAATAGTTTGGTTTTTAACTTGTTAAATTATAAATGCCTGTTCAAATCCAAGTGGTGATACAGAGTCAGCAACTGGATATGTGTATCTGGAGTTCAGAGAGGTCTAGGTGGTAGCAAAACATGTCAGATGCCATCAGCTTGTGAACTACCCAATATTGGAAACCCTGAGATTGATGAGAATATGGTTACATGCTAGAAGAGGTCCAAGCACTGAGCCCTGTGCTCTTCAGCTTTTAGAGGTTCATGCTCTGAGGACAAGCTAGCAAACAAGACTGATAAAGTGTGGCTCATGAGGAGGGAAGGGAACCAGAAAAGCCAGTTCTGGTGTCCCGTGTGTCAAAGAAAGGGGAGAGTAAAAAACCTATTTTGTTAGATGGCTCTGAGAGATAAAGTAATGTGAGGACTAAGACCTGGGCCATTGGGTTTGGCGACATAAAGTCACTGGTACCCTTGACAAAAATTGTTTTGGAGGAGTTGTATGAACAAAAGGACATAATAGGAAACCATACATTCACTGGCTGAGGTTTCTGTGTGCTTTATTAAATATTTTTCACCAGTCATGGCAGTCCAAGATCCCATCAGAGAAGAAAATTAGGTTATTTTTTTAATTAGGATTTTCTTCTCAATCTTCTCTAATTATCTGCTAAGGAGTACGTATACAGTTGCAAAGTGCCTCTTTCCCTTTTGAAAAGTACAGTATCACTTACCCCTCTCTGGGTTCCTAAGGCAGCCCCTGTGTTCCTCATCCTCATCCTCATCCTTGTGATGACCCGTGCTGCTGTGGTGCTCTTTTGCCCTGTGCCCTGTGGGATAGAGTTCTGTGAGCCTTGCAACCTTGACCTCATTAGAGTACTGAGGTTTAGTGATAGAATCTCCCTTTTGGGGGTTTATAGCCCCCTTTCATTTCTGGCCTTTCCTTTCCTTTCTGTTTCTTCCTAAGTCTCTCCCTTGCACCAGTGGATAAATCTTTTTTCTTTTGTATTTCCATCGCCGTCTTTATCGTCCAAGTTTAGAGGAGAGTAGTTGGTTGGTTTGCTTTGTGTTGATACCAAAACCTGGGGACAAACCACAGGTGAGTTTTTATCTGTGGTTCTCAACCCTCCAGAGAGTTTTTGTTTTTAAAGAAAATTATAATTTATACTTAAGGAATTATTTTCTCATAATCATGGTAAAATTGTAATATTCTTGTGAGTTTTAGAATTGTAATATATTCTAGTGAGCTCTTAGCTTCCATTGTGTTACATGGTCAAACCTTTTCATATATTTTTTTTCCTTCGTATTATAACCGTTAAAAAGATTATAATAGAAATCTTTTTGTAATTATACAAACTATAAGTGGTCCTCAGGGATTCGTAGGGAACTACAGCAGTGTCTCTTAAACTTGGGTATGCATTAGAATTACTGAATGAGCTTGTTAAACATGGGATACTGGGGCCCATCCCAGTAATTTGTGATTGGGTAGGTATGCCTGAGACCTAGATTTGCCTATCAAACCAGCTACAGGAGATTCTCATACTGAGAACCAGTGGTCAAGACTCTAGCTGTAGTGATAAATATCCTTAAGGTTGTGCACAGAGTTTTTGAAGAACCAAGATGAAAAGTGTGGCAAGGACCTAGATGGGCTTGGCACTTGACTCTCCTGGGCCTCTCTCAGGCTCTGATAACCCTGAGTCCTGCAGAAGTGGAAACTCTTCGTGTGCAGTAGACCTTAGGAAGTCCTCATTCCGAGGCTGTGTCTTGGTTTGCGACTATATACGTGGATTCTGTTTTTCTCCTATAATATTAGGTGACATGTGGCCCTGTCTTCGAAAGCCTGTCCAAGTTGCCACTCAGTTCAGAAGAACAGAGAGATGTAAGTACTTTCTCAGTAGTATATACCCAGTCTTAATACCACAGAAAAAAACTGACAGCTAGAGTTCTTGCCACACCTTTGTCTAGCACCTCCTTTGTTGCATCGAAAAGTAAATGAGAGAATTCCAGAGGGAAAGAATACTGCTGTGAGAGGTTCCTTAAATTATTTTACATTTAACCAAATAAACAGGTTTCCTGTGTCAACCAGAATCCACAAGTTATTCATTGAAGACTCTGGTCCCACCCAAGGAGGTAGGAAAGTTACGCCAGCTATCTTCCATCTTCCTATTTGGAGAAATCTCCCTCCAAGATTGGCCTACATTTACGTTAATCTACCAACATAGGCATTGATTATAAGGGGGATATTTACAGGGTTTTCCTTGTATTTTTTTGTTGACTCATGTAGAGTTTTCATAAATTCCTATAACTTGTAAACTGAACTGTTAACTCCTTTACATCAAGATTCTTCAGGGATATATAAAAATATCTTCTAACATGTGTTAAGTTTTTAGAGTTTAAATTCAAGCCTACATTCCACAATTTCATGAACACACACTAGATAAAATTGTGGACAGAATTCATGGGGACTGATGCTCTTGTTGTTTACCAAACCCCACTTGAGGTTATATATGCCATAATTGATCCCAAGCATGTTCCTGACCTGCCTGCATTTTGCTAAATATGGATTCCTGCACTTGACTCCAATCTGAAGTCAGGGTTCCTACAGATGAGTCCATAATAATTTCTAGCAGATTATCTTTTTACTTCATGTTCTCTGTTGCATAAATATTTAAGAGAAGCATTCATATTTTCACTTTGTCATCTGGTATGATTATAGGATATCTGTCTGCTTTTCTAAGTAGTGTGTGGTCAGAGTAAGACTGCAAAAATAATTATGAGGCATTTATTAACATTTGGTAGGAATAGATGGAAATCCATGCCGTAGATATTTGTAAATCTTAAGAGAACCGAGAGTTCAGAGTTTATTTAAAATGCCCTAGAATTTGAGCTAAATTCTACCTTTGGAAGGGGCGGGGGGATAAAAGCAACCATTATTTATTTCTTATCCATTTATATGGTTGGCACTATGCAGAACCTTGTACCTACTTTTTCTCATTTAATTCTCAAAACAACTCCATGAGGTGTTCTTCATTATTGTTCCCATTGTTCATTGGAGGAACTTACACATTGGAACTACATAGGGCTGGCATTGAAATGAAGTCTGTCCTACCTCTGGCCGCTATGGCCCTCATTGCCCCACATGCTCTGGACATGCCATGGAAGGGGCCTGCAGGTTTCATTTGAAAGAATCATTTTCTGAAAACCATTAGGGAAAAGGCCTAAAAGAATGAAGCCAGTTCTCATCTTTCAGAGGGAGCTATTGAGAGCCTGTTCCTAACTGCACTGTCTTGCAGTGAGGTATATTTTAGAGTCTGTGATTCAGCTTAGAATTCAACCCAAAGGATCCAGTGTCATATGTTAACATTAAGTGACCCTTTTGCCAACACCACTCTCGTTGACTGTAGCTTTATTCCCAGCAGCATATTGCTTCCCTTCTTAGACTTATCCAGAGAGACTGTGTACCATCTTATTAGTACCATGGGTGAAAGACTAAACTCTGACAGGAAACCAGAGACAGTTTACTGAGGGACATTAACTTCTCATTCTTTTTTTTCCTCCTTTTAGAAACTGTCATCAAACCCATTTGTTCTAGTTTTCCTTCATCTCTTTCTTATTTCTTTGTGATTGTTTCTTAGGAAAATCTTTCCCCCGACCATAGAAATAAATATTTTATTGAAAAAAAATGAGTTGAAAGTTGTACATTTCTGACCTGTAGTGAAAAGTCCCATGGTAGACAAATAAGAGAGAGACGCTGTCTCCCCTCCCAGTTCCTTTTCATCCTAGACAGGTCACACCCTCCCCTGCATCCCTTTCAACCAGAAAAACTTGAGCTCAGAGAACTACTCATCATCCATTTGCAATCAAAGAAGTTTCCTCTAATGGGCCTGGATTCACATCATGAAGCAGGATTTTGTCCTGGGCATCTGGTTCCACCTTACTGATTGGAAGGGGAGGAACCACTTGGCTTGGAGCAGTGGGCCCATTTCTCCACATATAGGAAGCAATCTTAGTTGTGAACAAGGATCTTGATTCTGTAGTCTGTCTTATTCTGAAAATAGGGTACAAGAGTGAGGGAGATAATCCCTCCTAGAGAGAGAACAAGGAAACTACTTGAGTAATTTTCATTACTATAATTTTCATTCACTTAACAAACATACTTTATGCACATCTCTGCCAGATTCAGTGCCAGGTACTGACAACCTGAAGGTGACATAACGCAGCTCCTACCTGCAGGTTGCCCAGTGGGAGAGGGATGGATGCAGTCACCTGTCTACAGCCTGTGTAGTTTCCATAACAGAAGCATAAGCAAAGTGCTGTGGCAGTGCAGAACTTGATCCTGCCTGAGGGCCTCGTACAAGGTTTTAGGGAAAAGCTCATTGTTTAGGAAGATTTTTGACTCAGCCAGCTCCATCAAATGTCTCCATTTCCTGTACTTCATACCATGATTTCTAGCCATGTGTCTGGCATTTTCTGGCATTGGTTGCCAAGACTAAACCACGCCTGTGGAGGTCAGTGCAGCAGGAAATGTGAATTATACTACCGTGCTTGCATGGCCCGTGGTGGACTGGTGGAGGATAGGACAAAGTGCCTGACTCAGTGTGGCTCTGTTGTGACTTTTATAGGAAGACAGACATGCTTGCAGATACAATCTAAGTAGATGGTAGTGAACTAAAACCCTCAGGAGATGGGATCCTAAAGTGAAGGCTCCTGAAGGAGATTTGCTGGGTTCACTTGTTTTACATGTAGGGAAACAGATACCTGAGGAGGGAGGTGTTACAGCCACTCCTAACAGGAAGAGACACACGCTTTCGATTTTCTGTGCCAGGCCCTTCCTTCTCCCTTTTCATCAGAAGCTTTCTCCAGGACTACTCTATGTGCTGTGATCTCAGATTCAAGCTATGTCTAATTTGTTGCTATGGGTATGGCGTGTTCCTTGTACCTGGCCTGACAAGTACTGCCAGGTTGGCAAGGCACCACACCAAACAAAACCCAGCCACAATCACCAGGGATCTTCTAAAAAGAAAGAGAGCTCTTAAGTTTCTCAGTGTTTCCAGAACACTGAGTGGTAATAGTTTCTGCCTCTCTGGGTTGTCATGAGAATTAAATGCAATAATGTTCAAAAAAGGCTTGGCAAAGCATCTGGCACACAGTTAGTGCTCAATGAATCTTAAGTACTGTTAGTGCCAGTTTGTATATATTCCCCCAAAATGATTCTTCTCCCACCTCCTGACCTGACTGCTAGCTAAATCTATGTACCATCCAAGAGGTGTACTAATTTTGCTGATTTCTTTTCCTTTTTTTCCTTTGTCTCCCTCCTACCCTCCCTCTCTCCTTTTCTTCCTTCCTCTTTTCCTTTCTCCCTTTTTTGTGGTACTTGTGTTGAACCCAGGGCCTCTCACTGAGATAAATCCCCAGCTCTTTTTTTATGCTTTTTATTTTGAGATGGTCTCACTAAGTTGCCCAGGTGGTCCTCAAACTTGGGATCCTCCTGTCTTCAGCCCTCCTACCTCCCACTCCAAGTATCTAGGATTGTAGGCATGGACCACCATATCTGGCTGATTTCTTTTCTTGAATGTCAGTGTCAAGCGTAGATTTCTTGGGCTAGTATTTTATCTGAGGAACAGGTCAACTCAGTTGTTTACATATCTGCATTGATTTTTCCTTAGCTTTTCACCCTCTTGCTAAGGATTCTTAATGTCAGGAGACTTCTCTTCCCAAACTAACAACTCCATCCCAATTTCTACATGATTTCTTGCTGTCTTCCTCTGCTGCATTCTGTTCTTTCCCTTTCCCATCTTTCCTTCTCCCTAACAAGCCCTTCCACCCCAGTCTCTCTGCAGTGGGTCTCTTTGCTACCTTACTGCACACTTGTCCCAACATGGTCCACACAGTGGCTGCATCACTGTCTGAGCTCTTGCTGCTTTTGTTCAAGCATGGAGTCAAGCTGCCCTGGGAAGGGAGTTGAGTGGTCCCATTCAGAATGCTTGGCTCTGCCACATGTGCAAAAGGGATGAGGTTTTGCAGAGCAGACAGTGACCACTGCTCACTCCTCAGCTACTTTACAACTAAAGGGGAGTGGGTTCCAGGCAAAGCAGGCTTAACTGTACCCCTGCATGGGGTCTGGAAGTATGTCTTGAGCAGCCTTCCTCAGGGAAATTCTTTCAAAGTGTTGCGTGGTGGCAGACATTGGAGTGTCACAGGTCTGGCTTTGATTCCTGGGTCTGTCACTCAACTTGCCTGTGTAATCTTGAATTAGCTGGTACCGTCTCTAATTATACTCCCTTATCTATAAAATGAAATTAATAGTTAATTGTCTTCCTTAACAGGCCAGGAAAGAATTAAATTGAATGCTGTGGGTAAAGCTTAGCATAATGCCTGGAACCAGGTGCTCTGTAAATGATACTTAAAAAAAAAAAAAATTGGTTTTTCTTTAAGAATCACATGACATAAGTTTCATGCTATAAGATATATATTAAATATTTTCATATGGCATAATATGAAAATATTTAGTATCTGGATAAAATTGGTACAACAGGGAGGAGCGTGGTATGATGTTGATGTAGATCTTCAGGAGAAGCCTGTGGATTCAGCGTGGGGACTGAGCTGACTGATCTTCCCACTGATGCCTTGGGAGGCCCCTCTGTCTGGCCTTCCAGTTTTCGTATTGGCAGCTTGGAAACTCAGAGCCACGTGCTGTGAAAATTTAGGACCTTGGTGGGACTTTTGCACAGACCTGTCATTGGCTTCATTTTATACTTTTACTTTTGTTATTCTTACTTATTCTTCCCATTTCTTTTTTTTTTTTTTTTTTTTGGTACCGGGTATCGAACTCGGGTCCTTGCGCTTGCGAGGCAGGTGGCAGAACCACCAAGCTAAATC